GCTAGACAAGCTTCCAACTACTGAGCTACATCCCGGAACAACATAAGTGCAAAGACCATAGGTCCTGACCCTAAAGTGGATCAGTTTCAAGGCCATTACATCATGTGTCAAAAACATTATAAATGAAAGGTGCAATAAGCACAGAGAGTTGCTGTTAAAGATGGCAGGGACCGCAGACAACCTGGAATAGTAAGAAAACCAATTACTCCTATGGCACACTGGCCATGCTGAGTCCTGGGGATGGGAGGATGAATCTTAATATGCACAAAAATATGATTGGAATAGAGATTTAATGAGTCTTCTGTTTAGAGACAGGGAGGCTGATTCTATCTCTATGCCAGGGACACTGTGAGCCCTCCAAGATTTTAGGATTTACCCAGGTATAATGGTTGGTTAGTGCTGTCGGCTTGATAGAATCTAGACTGTCCTGGAGATGGGCTTCAGGGGGTGCCCATGCCTGCTTATCTTGACTACATTAATTGAGATGGGAAGATAGGTCTGGTGGGGACACCAGGGCCTGGGCAGAGAATCCAGTATTCATAAGAAGCAGTGGGTTAGCATGCATGCATTCATTGCTTTCTTCCGACTATAGGTGTAACCAGCTGTTTCAAGCAACTCTTATAAAGGAAAACATTTAATAGGGGTGGCTTACAGTTCAGAGGTCTAGTTCATTACCATCATGGCCGGACATTTTGTGCAGGCAGACATGGTGCTGGAGTAGGAGCTGAGAATTCCACAACTTTGATCCGCAGGCAACAGGAAGTTAACTGAGAGACCGAGTACCCATGAGACCTTAACGCCCACCTCCACAATGACACACTTCCTCCAACAAAGCCACATGTACTTCAACGAGGCCATACCTCCTAATAGTGCCACTCCCCATGAGCTTATGGGGGCCAATTACATGGGCTAATGGGCATCCCTGAGAGCAGACAGGAAGAGGGGAGCAAATGATGAGGCTGTTTATTCCTAGGCTACTTCTCAGCAGGCATGTCTCTGGCTGCTGCCTCCCTGTAAGTGATAGTCAACCCTGGTCTCCTCCACTGAAATAAATGCTCCTTCAGTTAGCTTCTTTAGCTGGGCAAGAGGCAAGAGTAGCATTCCCACTCTGCACTATTTCCTACCAAAGCTCCAAGCATTGTACACCCCTGTCTACACTCCCATAACCCCAAGCACTATACACCTCTTATGGTTTCTCCTGCCTACAACTCCCATAATCCCTGTGGTTTCCTGCCTACAACTCCCATAACCCCAAGCACTGTATACCTCCTATGGTTGCCTGCCTACAACTCCAATTGTCTTTTGATTAAACTTTCCTAGAATTACTCTAATTTGAGTTACCATCTGTTTCCTGATAGGCCCAACTAAAACACTTCTAAACGTATAAGCCTTGAGTTTTTCTTTTTTTCAGGAACTGATTTTTAAAAAAATGACATTCAGTTTAGTTGCAAATCAAGAAACCTGGTCTACCTTCTGAAAAATTTAACTTGACCTATGTTCTGTAAAAAGCAGCTATTTATCATCTTGGTAGCCAAAGGATGCTCAGAATAAGAAAACAGTTTGTCTCCAAAGGTGTTTCAGAGTCTTTCCTCACTGTTCTCCTCAGATAAAAGTGAGCATTTTCTTTCCATTTCAATTAAAAAGACAGAGAATATGGGGCAGCCCCCGTGGGCCCCACTCCTAACCCTGTGTTCAGACAGTGAGAACACACAGGTAGCCTGGGAGCAGAAGACTCCACAACCAAGTAGCCATTGGGCCTACCACTCTCTGACTACACAGAGAAAACCATACACAAAACTTTGGAACTTGAATTTGTTACATCCAAAGGAAACTCCATTTCCCCAGATTCCAAAGGGCAGACGGGGCAAATGGCTATCTGTGGTGCCTCTTAGCATACAAGTACATGCTGGCCTCCAGGGCCCTCGGCGTCACAAGTTCTTATTACACATCTCAAAAGTCCATGCTAGCACCCCAGCCCGTCTCTCCTCTCCTACCCTAAACCTCCCCAGCTCTCAGGCTTCCCTGCCAGCCACTCTTCTCCTCATAACCCTGCTACTGCAGCCACGCCCCCTCCTCTCCTCTCCCCCCTTCCCCGACTTGCTCTCCCACCCCACCCCCACTCCTCTCCCTCCCTCTCTGCACCTGCTTCTCCCATGCTCAGGTCCAGCCTGCTGGCCATGTTCTGTCTACAGCTTCCTCTCTCCCCTCTGGACTCTTCCTGTTCTCTCGTGTCTATAATTACAAACCTCCCTTAGCCAGAGCACAGGGCAGTCATGTCATCGGTTCAGAGAGAATTCTGCAACCAATGCCTTAGGTTTTATACTTAGGGTTTCTGTTGTGTCAAAATCTTTAGCTAATGTGTTTTAATCTGTGTCAAAAATCCACACAGACCAGGGATCTCAGAGATTTGGGAATGAGGGTACTACTGGCAGGGAGGAGAGAAGGCATGAAGAAACAATGGTGGATGTGCTGGATATTTTTATGCCAAGTTGACAAAAAAAAAAAACTAAAGTCATCTGAGAGGAGGGAATCTAAATTAAGAAAATGCCTCCATCAGATCAGGCTGTAGGCAAGCCTATAGAGTATCTCCTTAATTAGTGACCAACGGGAAGGGCCCAGCCCATTGTGGGTGATTCTATCCCTAGACTGATAGTACTGGGTTCTATAGGAAAGCAAGCTGAGCAAGCCATTAAGGAGCAGTCAGTAAGAGCACCGTCCGTGGTCTCTCTGCATCAGCTCCTGCCTCTAGGTTACTGCCCTGTCTGAGTTCCCATCCTGACTTCCTTAGATGATTGTTATATTTGATTACAATGTGTAAAGATATGTCACCATGATTGGTTTAATAGAAAGCTGAATGGTCGATAGGTAGGTGGGGCTTCCAGGCAGAGAGAGAAAGAGAGAGAGAACTCTAGGAAGTTGGTGGAGTTGCTGGATGCCGCGAAAGCAGAGCATGCAGGAGGAGAGGTAAGAGCCATGAGCCACATGACAGCATGTAGATTAATAGAAATGGGTTCATTTAAGCTATATGAGCTAGTTAGGAACAAGCCTAAGCGAAGGCCGAGCTTTCATAATTAATAAGTTTCTCCATCATGATTTGGGAGCCGGCAGTCCAAAAAAGTGATATAGAAGCATAAACCAAATAACCCTTTCCCTCCCCAACTTGCTTTTGGTCTTGATGTTTCGTCACAGCAATAGAAACCCCAGGTAAGACAGCAGAGAGTGGAGAGCGGGTTTACCAGACAACCGCAGTAGGACTGCCAGAGTGTTGCGGCAGGCGATCATGAGCTCATGGAGAATCAATCTAAGTTGCCTTGTAATGTGACTTTTTAGATTGTTTATTGTGTAAGTGTGTGAGTGTGGGAGTGCACATGGCAGGACATTTGTGGAGGTCAGCGGTCAACACCAGGGAGTCAGTCCTCTCCTTCCACCTTTACATAGGTCCCAAGATTCAGTCACCAGGCTTGTGTGGCAAGCCCTCACATCCACGCCGCCATCTCACCAACCCCATTATACGACCTTTTCTTTACAGCATCTGACTGCTAGCATGCAAATACAGAAAAACAGGATTGTTCTGCCGGAATAATGTTAGGGAACTTGCTGGATTTTTCTACATTTAATAAAACATACAGAAACAGAGATCAGAGTGTTGATAATTATGCTACTATTATTAGTGTGACGGACACAGTGGTTCTCAACCTTCCCAATACTGTGGCCTCACGTTGTGGTGACCCCCCAAAAATAAAATTATTTTTGTTGGCACTTCATAACTGCAATTTTGCTACTGTTACGAACTGTAATGTAATTGGTTTTGGAGAGGTTTACCAAGGGGGTTGCAACCCACAGGTTGAGAACCACTGGCTAGAGACTCTCGGCTAGGAGAAAAGAGATGAGAGGAGCAGAGGATAAAGGTACGGGAGCAGACACGTGACAGGACTGAGGGTCACGCTTAGTGTAAGAACTGCGGTGACTGAGTCACTGAACGAACCATATAATATGCACTAACCTGCACACACAATTAGAAACAACACACTCCCCTTGGTTGGGGTCGAGGTAGTCTGCAACAATAAAAAAAAGTTTTATCCATAAAAGATGCACAAAATGATATAATGATACAGTTTATTTCAACAAACTTTACAAAACTGTAATAAATTTTTTGGTGGGAAAAAAAAAAAAAAAAAAAAAAAAAAAAACCTTGACTCTCTACATGCAGGGTCAGTTTGAATGACCAAAATGTATTTTAACAAAATATATTAGAAACATCATGTCTAATAAAGCCTTTTACATACATGGTAGATGCTAAGTAATTTGAACACTTGGAAAACAAAGTCATAAAATAGTTAAATATTTGTTTAAAATATCATGAACTTACTTCTCTTTACAAAAAAAAAAAAAAAAGTCATCCTCTGGTCTTCCCTTTTTACACGTTTTCTTAGCAGAATTAAGTCACAAATGTGAAGGACTACGGACTACATCTTTTCCCCCTGGACCTTCAGAAATATCAGATTCTCCTTCAAGACCAGAGCAGTTTAAAAGGGGTCAGATCATTTAAAGAAAGGTGATGAGAAATGAAGACAATCTTGCTTCTGAGTTGTTCGCCCCAGGTTCTGCCTGAGCTGGCTGCCAACTCTGTAGGCTAGCTCACAGCATGATGCCTGACTTTACAGCTAGTGTGGCCTCAGTACAGCCACCAAAGGTTCTTCTTCACTGAGGTACCAGAGCTATCTGCTTAGCTGGGAGAAGTAACCCTGGAGAGTCCCTGAGAATGACGTAAATATATCTAAATATAAGACACACGATCCTGAATAGTGAATCATTTTTGAACATGCACATTTCTCCACGAACAAAAGATAAGGTGGCATCTGGGCATGGTGTTGCACACCTACAGCCCCAGCATTTGGGGGTCTGGAGCAGAAGGCTCAACAGAGCACCCCAGGCCAGCCTAAAGGATGAGGCGCCAACCAAAAGAAGGAAAATGAAATATAATAAAGCAGTAAGAGAAGTATGATCTGGATATTTTTAAATGAGACAACTGTAACATGTCCAAATAAAGGCATGTCTGGGAGTGGTTTACATCATAAAAATAACTGCTTATTATTGAAATTCAGCCCTGCATAAAGTGCTGGAATAAACTCATCCAAAGATTCCTTCTCGCTGTGACTCTACATGCTAAAACATGTATTTAAACTATTGTTATAACAAAGTTGTCTGTTATCTTAAGGTATAAAAGCACAGTTCTATGATATACTGAATTTCTTTGAAACACATGTGCTATATAAAAAGAGAGAGAGAGAAAAGCCATAAACTTAAATTTTCTTTACCTGTGGATTCTAAAAAGACACCAGGTAACTTCCTGATTCTTCCATATCTAAGAACCAAAATACTAGACAACAATAAATGTGAAACTTGGGGGACTGAAAGGGTATGGAATACTGAATGCAGTAATGTAACAGTGAATTGAAAATTCAGTTTTTCAGAGTTAAGACTTCTTCCAGATGCAATTTTCTTATTTCGACTATTAATATGTTATCACATGGAAGCACCTGTCACTACTTATGAGGAAGGTCTAAATTTAAATACTGTTCAGACTGTTTTCTTTCATCTGAGAGGATTAATATTTAGATGTTTTTTATGACAGTAGATTAACACCTTGAAACATACTATTCAGATACCCCAGGCTCTTAGATATTTTGATACTCTAAAGCATCATAAGCATTAATGCTGTGGTAGTATGTGATACTTTAATAAAGGAATAGGCAAAATAAATCACAGTGGATAAAATTTAAACGATGTGGCAGCTTAAAAGTCTTACAGTGGAAGGACAGTGGCTGGGATCTTGGCTAAGTTTTTCAGCCTCTCTGACCTCACCCCTCTCTCCATGTTTTAGTAATGGCTACTCTGTCATGCTTAGAAGGGCGCCAGGTAACCACATGACCAGTGGGAAGCACATGGCAAACATTTCGTTTCTGACAGCCTCTCTAACGATGGAATTATGCCCTGCCTCTCACATTCATTTAGAATTCCTAGTTTTGGTCAATCAGATAGTTGTAGAACAAATGGAATAAAAAAGCTATAGAGGGAGGAATCTCTGAATTTCAGCGCCCAGAACTTTATTTGTACTTCGTGTGTGTCGTATGAGTATGCATGTGCAAGTGTGTGTGAGTGTGTGGTGGATGAGTGCATGCTGCTTTGGTTTTTATGTAGGCGCCGCCTCCACGTTGGCGCAGCAGGAACTGAGACGGAACTAGGGTTTGGCGGGGCTCCGGCTTCCTCTTGGTGCTTCCTGGAAATGAAGAGGTGCACATGGCCCAGGTGTCCCGGCTCCTGGCCTTTCCCGCATCTTTCTTAAAGACTTCCATCTCCCTCACTGTCTTACTATGCGGCACACACAGTTCATTCCTTTGTAACATTGTAAAGAGATTTAAAAGTGTAAAGACAAACAGATGAAGTCCATCTTAAATAGCTTTCTCAGCTTGGCATAAATCTGAAATGGCCCAACAATCCCTGCCACTTCTCTCTTTTGTCCATTTCAGTCTGTATACATGACTCTGGCCAGCTTTTCCCAGGGCACTCCCGAGCTGTGCAGGGCGTCGGCAGGCTCGTGTTGAGCCTCTTCTGTACCGCACCTCCCCAGCTCTGGGCTGACGTGCATTCTAGGAAGGGATGAAGTGTACAGTATTTCCCAAATCCACTCCAAATCTCTTTTTCTATGACAAGAACTCTGGACGATCTACCAGCTCCGAGAACATGGCGTTGAGAACTGCCTGTCTACCCCGGTTCTGAACACTCCAGGGCTGCCCTGGCAATGGTTCTCTTTTTTTAATTCCAGGAGAAGAATCACTTTGCTTGCAAGGTTCACAACTGTGGCAACTTCTGGATTCTACTCCTCAAGCCTTCTACCCTAAGCAATTACGAGCTACATTCTTACTGCAGACTGAGAAATCCAGAGAGGTTGATGAGAATTATGACCTCTCTAAGGGTTTCATATTCTTATAATCTTACTGGGAGCATTAAAAATGCAAGAATCTAATGAATTCCAACTCTTCATCTAACCCAGAATCACAATCACTATGGAAAGGAGTGGACTGCATCACAATGCAATTAATCTTATGGTTAATATTAATTAGTAGTAGAGGTAACTACTCCATGAATTTGGGACTTCCGATTATAGAAATTTTACAGATAAATGCCCTGAAGTTTACAGTGATTAACTGACCTGCCAAGGTCACACAAAGAAGGAAGGGCAGCTGTCAAACTCATATCTAACTCCTCAATCCATGATCTCTTATGTGCTCAAGACAAGGGGGGGGGGAAGGGCATTTAGGTCACACTCTCATTGTCTAAATAAACGAGGTGCATTTAGATAAATCAGTTGTTTAGAATTTAGTTTTAGACTTCTTTCTATTCAAACTCGCATTCCCTTAAATGAGATACTCAAAGTTTCAGAAAGACAGAAAAATAAATCGATATTTACCAACAAGAGGTTTCTATATGGTTTTGTTAGTTTACTTCTGCTGTTGTAGCTTTGGTTTTGAGACAGATCTCTATATGCAGCCCTGACAGTCCTCAAAGTCCACCTGCCTTGGCCTCCCTTGAGTGCTGGGACTCAAGGCGTGTGCCAGCACACCCAACTTCTACGGTGTATTTCCAAATGAGGACAGGGCTCTAAAAATCTGCATCCAAGGTGAAGACATTATCTGTGGTTTCCGCCATGACTGCAAAGCGCTGATACTCAGAAACTCGTTTCTCAAAGAAATTTGTTTTCCCTTCTAACGAAATGTTTTCCATAAAATCAAATGGATTTTCTGCCTGAAAGACCTGGAAGGAAAAGAAATGTCATTAGATATTCTGAAGAATCCAAGTGACAAACACCAGAGGGCAGGGCTCCCAGTCCAACTGCAGAAACGCACACCCCTGTAAGGCACCGAGGGTCTCCAATGGCTGCCCACGATTTCATTTTAAGTTTCTAAGGGGTTCGGCAAAATCTTTATTTACTTGCCTAGCAGAGAGGCCACGTAGTACAGGCTCACCCACAAACATGCAATCCTCCCACCTTAGAACTGTTAGAATTACAGACGAACGTCACATATCCAACTTACCACTGGTGTTTCGAAAGAAGAGTGGTATATTACAAAGGATTTCAGTAAAATAAACTTTAGAGACCTTACTTGCCTACAACACTATTGCTTGTGTGGTAGTTTGCATGAGAGTGGGTCCCAGAGGCTCCTATCCAATGTTTGGTTTCGTGCTGGTGAGCCATGTAGAAAGGACTAGGAGGTGTGGCCCTATTGGAGGAGGGGCGTCACTGAGGGTGTGTTCAAGCAGTTGCTCATGCTCTGTGCCATGCCTGCCTGCCTTCCACTGTACTCCCTTCCAGGACGGCCATGGCTCACCCTCTGAAGCTGTAAGTCAGCCCCCAAATAAGTGCTTTCTTTTTTTTTCATAAGTGGCCTTGGGCATGGTGTCTCTTCACAGCAACGGGACAGTAACAAAGACAGGTAGTAATATGTCATGTCTTAAAACACTTTATTTACCTTTGAGAATCCAAGTTCTACAAGTAATCTGTCAGCTACAAACTCAATATACTGCTTCATCAAAACACAGTTCATTCCAATGAGGCCAACAGGCAGGGCTTCTGTTAAAAACTCCTGGAATGCAAACAAAATCAGAATAAGGTACAAAAACATAACAATAAGTAAGTACAGATTCCTAAATATGGAGTATTATGGTTTGAATTTGGAATGTCCTGCACAGGCTCATGTATTTGAACACTTGGTCCCTACCTGGTACCACTGTTTGGAAGGTCATGGAACCCTCTAGAGCTGAGAGGTGGTGGGCAGAAATAGGTCCCTGGGCATGAACTTTGATGAACTTTTTCCCATCCAACTCTACTCTCTGATCTGTCAAAATTAGAACAAGCTGTGCTTTAAGCTCCTGCTAGAACCTTCCAGTCTGTGAGAGACTGTACCTTCTGAGCCGTGAACAGTTTCCCACAGAGAAGATGACAAACACAGAGGAGTTTAGTTTTCTTCATATTCTAGACACTAATTTTGCTAAAGGCAAGTATGCCAGGATAAATTTAACAAGATAAATGATGGTCATTTGTTTACAAATGTTTGGGATATTACTAATTATAGGACTTCACTTTCTCAGGGGGCCAAAATTAAATAGAAAATAGCAAATGCCTGGATCTTTTAAAGTAGTATGCATAGGACCTGACTCCTAGATTTCCTCAACAAAGAAAACTTCTTCAAAGCAGGACCACAAAAGTGAGCCAGAAGAAGACATCAGTTACAGACAGTATGAGAATAGACAGACATGGATCTGGATGTTGGGAGATACAATGAAATCCAACTATGCTGAAAAACATGGTAAAGTGTTGAAAGAGGAAAAATAAAAGCATATTAAGCATGAAATTCATTCTCAAGATGGTTAAAAAAAAAAAAGATGCCAAAATGCACACGCCTTCCTTCTCACAGTGTGAAAAGCATGCTGTGACCTACACACTGTTCAAAAACAAGTCAAGCAAAGTTCATTTTTGAGTTAGTTCCTTAGAGTGATAAAAATACATTTTGTGTAGACTGTCAGGCTGCTTCTAGTCACAAGCCTTTACATGCCATAGATTAAGTTTTACTCTAGTGAATCATTTTGAGAATGTTTGGTTTGTGCTTCAGCTAGGCAGTTATTGAAATGATAAAACAAAAGTTACCATTCCTCTCTAGTAGTTAAAAATATAAAACTAAGAAGCTATAATAATTAAAATGTTTATTATGGAATCAGATTTAAAAGATAAATTAAATATAGTTTAACTAATTTAAATTATGTACAGCTATATAATTATATGAATATATAATTTAAATTAATTAATTTAAAACAAAAATATAGCCAGGTATACAGAAAACCCTGATAAATAATAAAGACTGACTTCTAATCAAATTATAAACTGAGGTAACAATTTCAGTACATTATGTGTCAGTAGTGCTGTAGTTTGAATAAGAACAGCCTATATAGGCTCATACACACATACACACACACACACACACACACACACACATTTGGTTCCTAGTTGGTGGTATTTTGTCACAGCAATGGAAAAGTAACAAAGAGAACTGTCAAATTGGACCACAAGAATTTGTTGGTATTGACATACAAATTACAACTTACTAGTCAAATGCTTCAGGGCACAGTGGTACAGTGCCAAGAGGACTGGACAGAAGGACTGCATTAGCCCGAGAGTTCAAGACTAGTGTACACTGTAGCATAAGGCACTATTTCCAAACAGATTTTAGAAACAAACTACAGGGACTGGAGAGACTGTTCAATAGCTAAAAACACTGGCTGCTGCTCCCAAGAACCTGGGTGTCCTTCCTAGCTCCCACAAGGTACCTCACAACCATATGCAAGTCCGTTTCCAGGAGATCTGTGGTCAGTTTCTGGACTCTGTGGGCAGCAGGCAAGCAAGTGGGGCATAGATACACATGCAGGCAACACATCCATGCACATAAAATAAAATAAAAATAAAGCAAAAAAAATACAAAATAGAATGTGATCGATCACAGGATGCGATAACTGCATTCTAGCCCTGCACTTACCTGCTCAATTTTAACAGCATCAACAATGATCTCCCTGACCCTTTCTTCCGAAGGCGTATTTACCAAGTACCGAAACATCAGGCAAGCGAAGTCACAATGAAGCCCCTAAAACAGAAGACAGGTGCTACTGTCAAACAGCTTCAATTAGCCACTGGCACACAATGTGTCATCATGCTGCATGAAGTAGGAATGGAATTCCCTGGGGATGAAAAGGTTAACAGAGCCAGGAGACTCTCTCCTCCAAACTGCACTGGATGTCAAGTCCATAATTTACAATAGAAACTTTCAGTGATAGTAAATCTTAGTTTACTAACATTTTATAATACCAAACCAGAATTTTTTGTAACAAAAGCATCTTGGAAAGGAAAATAATGTAAGAAGAGACAACATGAAAACTGACTAATTTTTAAATGTCAAATATTAAAGAATGATTGAAAAATAGTCATCAACTATGGTGATAAATCTTGGTTGCCAATTTGATGGGATAGAGAATCGCCATAGAAACAAATCATGAGATGTCTATGATTTTCCTATATTAGACTGACAGAGGTGGGAAGATCCACCCCTAAATGCAGGTGATACCATTCTATAGGCTAGGGGCCTGGACTGAATAAAACGCAGAAAGTGGGTTGAGCACCAGCACTCATCACACTGCTTTACAACCGGGATGCAGTGGACCAGCTGTGCTGCCAACGCCTCCCCTGCCATAATGGACTGTGTCCTCTTGACCTACGCACTAAAACAACTCCACCCTTCCTTCCTCCCTAAGCTGTTTATTGTCAGGGATTTTATCACAGCCACAAGAAAAGTAGCCAATACAGCAGCATTTAAAGAGCAATGGAACTCACTCAGAGAGACTTCATAAAGACAGTGTTCAGATTAAGTAACAGTTAAGAGAAAGGCGAACTTCGTACAATGCAAATGGAAAAGCAGGGTGCACACCACCTGAAGTCATAGCAAATATCTCAACCACAGAAGAAAACAAACGTAGGAAACAGCCTTGGGCACGAATCGGTCATGCAGACACATGAATACTAAACAGCTGCAGAACAAATCAATGAGAGATGGCCTGTACTCAGGACTCCAAATCAGAGCAGGTGATAACAAGCTGAAAATAAAAAAAAAAAAAAAAAAAAAACCAGAAGGGAATTTTCACAAATTCACAACAGGAAAAGAAAACATGACAACATAGAGGAAGATGATAGATTTATCAACAATATTAATTTTTAAAATATGATGCCAAGATACACTCAATATTTTTAAGCTACAAGGAAAGAAATAACTTTGTAAGTGACCAAGGAAGAAGAAGGAATACTCATAACAAAAGCATACAACTCAGAATTACTTAGGTTTCACTAAGTAAAACAACAAAAGGCCAAATACTCAGATAAGATACTTCACATCATTGCATTTCAAGGATTATCTACCAAATTATGCTCTGGTAAAATAATCTGGATAAACAAATAAAACCCATACCCTCTGAAAGGCTAACCTTTGGGACTGTACTAGCTATTTTCCCCACAGTGACTGAGGAGAATGCTTGGATTAGCAAAGGTAGAATGAGAGACGTAAGGTGTACGGTTTTTCCTCCCACCATTGGTCTGGTCCCGCCGCCGCGCCAGCCCCAATTAATACACTGAGACTCTGTATTTGATATAATTTTGTTGGCCCATTACTTGTTTCTTATCGGCTAGCTCTGTCTTAAGTATTAACCCATTTCTAATATTTCCACGTGGTCTTCTTACCGGGGAAAGGGGCCAGCGTCTCCTCTCCCCAGTCTCTCCATCTTGACCCTTCCTTACTACTTCCTCTTTTCTTCTTGTTTCCTAGTCCCTCCTATCTTCATTTCCTATTGGCCAACAGTGTTTTATTCATTAACTAGTATGAGAAACATATATACATAATGCCATGTCCCATCAGAGAGATGTTAAATGTTGATTAGAACTGGCAGCTAGCTAACTACTACAGAGACCAGCAAATAAAAGGTAAGCATAATCGTCAGATCAATAAATGAATAAAATTAACTTTCAATTTAAGCAATTACAATCAAACTCCTGAGATTTTTTTTTAATCCAAAAACTACTCTGTTAGGACATTTTTAAAATGAACATTTTGAGATGTGTTTTACCAATTATTAAAACATATCAGTGAAGTACAGGATTCTAATCTACGATACCAGAGAGGTTGAGGCTAGAGAATCAGAAGATTGAGACCTTCCTGAGCTGCAGAACATGTTCAGTGTCAACCTACACAACTCTGTAAGATCGTACCTCAAAACAAAGAGAAGGGGAAATAGCTCAATGGTAGAATGCTTGCTAGCATGCTTGAGGTCCTGGGGTTTACTGTTCCTCAACATAGGATAGAACAGGTGTGGTGGCTCACACCTGTGACTCTAGCAGTCGGGGTACAGGTAAAAGGATCAGAGAAATCAAGGTTATCCTCTGCCGAACAGTGAGTCTGAGAGACATGAAACCCCTGTCTTTAAAATCATCAGGGCTAGCAAGATGACTCAATGGGTGAAGGCTTTGCTGCCAAACCTGGAACCAGCATGGTAGGAGTGATCCAACTCCTACAAGGTGTCCTCTGACTTCCACATGGAGGAGCCACCCAGGCAGGCAGGCAGGCAGGCAGACACACACACACACACACACACACACACACACACACACACACACACAAATACATGCAATACATTTATTCAAATAAAGGACAATTTGAGAAAATGTTTAAAATAGGTGCAACAAAATTAAAATTGCATGTTATAATCACACACACACACACACACACACACACACAAAGTTCAGTAAACAATGTTAAAAGAGGTCAATTAAACCAAGCATTGTGGTATACTCTTTTAACCCCAGCACTCAGGAGGCAGAGACAGGTGAATCTCTGAGTTCAAGGTCAGCCTGGTCTACAGAGTGAGTTCTTGCATAGCCAGGGCTACATAGGAAAACCCTGTCTCAAAAACAATAATAATAAAAGATGCCAACCAATTATTGTGTGTTAGGAATATCCCAATAACCATGGCAAATATGAATCTTCCTTTAAGGCTTACAGAATACCATAAAATGGCCTTAAATATCAACAGTACTTAAGCAAGAAAAATATAAACATCACAACTGGAATAAAGGCAAAAGACAAGAGGCAGCTACAGAAAATATATGAATAACTAACATAATTGTGAGAAAGAGCTCAACACCAGCAATAAACAAATGAAAATAAGTACAATAACAAAGTGACAACTTATCTATCAGATTTGTTAATCATTTAGCAAATTAATCTCAGCTTGTGTACGGTGAGAAAATGTTCATGCTTGGCTAAGTGGGGCTGGAAACCGCTGTAAAATTCCTGGGAAGAACCCTGAGAGTGAGTATAAAGGACCTGCTAATTCTTCTTTGTAATCGAATGTAAAAAAAAATTTAACGCTAACATGCCAAGTTTCACTTTATTAAAGCATAGCAACCTGGCATGGTGGTGAATTCTTTTAACCCCAGCACTCAGGAGGCAAAGGCATGCAGATCACTTGTGAGTTCAAGGCCAGCCTGGTCTACATAGCAAATTTCAAGCCAGTTGGGGTTATATGATAAGATAGTGTCTCAAAAAGATTAAAAGCTAAACAAAAATCCGGGAAACCAATCTTTAATTAGGTTGAAATAAATGATACATTCATTCACCAGAATGAGACTTAGTTAAAGCTACCTTTAGTGACAGTAACCTAAAGAAGCATGCTGATTACTGTAGAGCTGGGATTGCTGGCTGAGGTAGCAGTAGATTAAGGCGCAGCTACTGTGCCAAAGTTAAAACAACATGTGAGATCCTATCTCTAACAAACAAAAGAACATAAAAACTACAAATTATAAAAATATGATATATACATGAGGAGGTGCTAGAGAAAGAGAAACCAAGATTTAAAGGTAGAAAAGTCTATAAGGGAGTACAATAAGTAAACATTACCTCTGAGTTTGTTGACCTTTTTGCTAAATTAAGGCATTTATTGTCTAAGTTATTAGAAAGTTAAAGACATCAAATAGAAGAATATAATTATAGGAAGCATTTGTGCACTTAAAAAAAAATACTTTCACAGGGCTGGAGAGATAGCTCAGTGGTTAAGAGCACTGACTGCTCTTCCAGAGGATCTGGGTTCAATTCCCAGCACCCACACGGCGGCTCACAACTGTCTGTAACTCCAGTTCCAGGGGATCTGTCACTTTCACACCAATGAACATAAAATGAACTTAAATAAATTATAAAAAACAAAATATATTATGTGAAATATATACTAATAAAGTTTTTTTAAAAAAATATTTTTCACAGGGCTGGAGAATTAGCACAGGAGTTTAAGAACACTGGCTCTTTAAAGGGAGTGGCAGTTTTGTCTCCTGGCATCCACACAGTGGCCCACAACCAT